CTATCCCAAAGAATCATCATCTCAAACAATCTGTCTACCACTGAGGTAAAGCTCACTGGCCTGTAATTTTGCAGATTATCCCTCTTATCCTCCTGAACAAAGGAATAATGTTAGCTATTCTTTAATCCACTGGCACACTCCTGTGCCTAAAAAGAATAGAAAGATTTCATACAAGGCCCCAGCAATTTCTTCACCTGCCTCCCTTGGCATTCTGGGATAGAACTCATTAGGTCCTGGGGCCTTTTCTACCTTTTTTTTAAATGAATTATAAAATAGCAAAAACATTTTTTTTTTCCTCTCTTTCCTCGCCCACCCCAATTGATATGCTGCAGAATATCAACATACCCCTCCTGAGACTCACCATCCACCTTGTCATCCTTTGTGAATACTGATACAAACTATTTGTCAAAGACCTCACTGACTTCCTCCAATTCTACAATTAAATTCCCTCCTTTTGTTTTGAGTGGATCTACCCTTTTCCTAACTACTCTCGCTTCTTTTTATAGGTATAAAACACTTCTAGGATTTTCCCTAATCCTGTTTGCCAAAGACATTTCATGGCCACTTTTGAGTCCTTCTAATTCCTTTGTTTTGAGTCTTTTCTTGCTTTTTGTATTTTCCAATTTTGTCTTCAGTTTCCTAAAACCTCATGTGCCTCCTTTTTCCCTTCCAGATTAAGCTCTCAATTTATTTTGTTATCCGAGGTTCCTGAATATTGCCCTCCTTATTCTTCATTTTCACAGGAATATGCTCACCCTGTACGCTAATCAACTGGCCTTTTAAAAGATTCCCATGTTGCCAGATGTGGATCTATCCTCAAACAGCTTCCTCAACTCTACATTCCCCAGTTCCTGCCTATTAATGTGGTAGTTAGCCTTTCCTCAATTTAGTACTTTCACCCAAGGACGACTAGTTTCCTTTTCTGTCTGTAACTTAAAACTCACAGAATTATGGTCACTGTTCTGGAAATGCTCCCACACTGAAACTTCAATCTGGTGGGCTTATTCCCCAGTAGTAGGTCTAGTATGCTCCTGCCCCCCCCCCCCCCCCTCCCCCACCACACAAAAAAAACAAAATAAAAAAAAAAAGAGAGAAAAAAAAA